GAATAAAATACTGACTAAAAAATTGTGTATTTCTCATACATGAAACATAACAGAAATTTAATAGGTTGCTGAATGAGGAAAATAGATTAAAAGAATAAAATATGATTTTTAGATGTAAAACTATTATTAATTTATTATAATCAGAATTTATTTACATTTAACATTTATAATTTTTCTGTAATTCTTTACTTTTTGCTTCCGTGTTGTTGGTTCTGTCTGACTAAAATATTGTTCGACCCAGTAAGCGGTTCTGAATCAGCTACAGAAAAAACTGGAGGGTTTTTTACTTTTGGTCCGAGAGGAGGAGGAAACAAATGGTGGAGTTAGGTGTCCCCCCCCCCCGTAAATGGCTCCACGACATGGCGAGGGACGCATAAATCATGCAACACAACGAATCGATAATGAAATTTGTTGCCAACGATTTTAATAATTGATTTTTATCGATTCTTTGTTGCAGCCCTACATACCACATATTATTTTACCCATTTAGACACATAACTGGCCTATTTTCTTTTGAACTTGGCTCGGCAAAAGGGACACAGGAAGTGACATCAAAGGGGAACTCCTTTTAATACAACTCACTGGTCTTTGTTTATTGAAACATTGTTATTTCAACTCTGACACTTTATTTTTTTTATTTTTTTTGTTTCTAGCGACTCAAAATAATCTAAAACATAAGATTCCTCTCCACAGTCTGGGCTGTTGCACATTTAGCTTAGCTATGTTCACATGCAGACATTCCCCTTTGACATCACTTCCTGTTACTTCACATGCAAATATCTCAACAACTGTTCTTCTTAGCAGCATGAAAATTATTTTATAATATATTCTCAGTGTTATCTTTCCAAAAATGCATTTGTATTATTACAAAAATTTTGATGTCACAGGTACTTTAAACGGCTCCATATTTGTTATTTATAAGTAATTAGGTCGCCACAAACAGATTTAATATCTAAGGAATGTCAAATGGAAAATACAACTGACTTCCTKGCCCAATTTTGACACAGATGTTAGTAAGATTTGGGGCAGTAGAAAGGTACACATTCACACCGTTTATGGAATAATATCTTTTCTTTAATCTCAAAAACAGAATTATAAAAAGTGTGTGTGAATAACTGGATGAGTGTTTAAATCTTCCTTCAATAAAGAGCTAAATGAAGGGATAAAAAAATCTTCTGCACCACTTTACAAATGGTTTATGACGGGGCTATTCAACTGAACGACCCGGGGGCCGGACATCGGGGTCGGGGTCGTTGCCCGATAATGGTAGGTTACACTTCATTAGGTAAAAGAACAAGTTTTATCTGTTACCTTTTTTTAATGTTTATTTTGTTGCATTGAAACATAAATTCTGGCATACACATCTACTTTGTCAAGACCAGTAGTCCTTGGGGACCAAAGACCGGTCCTAACATGGTGGAAATCCATTTTTGGGTTGGGGGTTAGGACCAAGATAAGAATGGAGTTTAGACTAGATTTCAGTTTAGGGTAAGGGGTCGGTTTAGGGTAGTATTCACTCAGAGGGTCCCACCTGCTGCCTGATGGCCCTGCAGAGTTGGTAACTCCCTTTGGAAGTGCACGCTCGCTTGAGATCCGGTCCAGTCTTGGGTAACTGGGTCCTGTCTTGTCTTTATGAGAAGTGCACGGTGGAGTCGGCTGACCACTAGATACGGTCTATTGAACTGTATGCTGTGAGATGTGGAATATGAGTGGCGTATTCCGGTGAGTGTAAGCGTACCGTTTGAGTTGAACTCATTTACATCAAGTGTTTGTCATGTGCCGTGCTTCGTAGGGGGGAGGCAGATTCAGAGAAGAGGGGAACAGACCGACGAGTGGGTTTGAGGTCCTTTAACAGCAACACCTCATCTATGGACATCTGGTCAATGTTAGTTTTTTGATGCTGAATTAAGATAAGCTGGACCAATTCAGTCCATTCTTTGTTTGACATGATTTTAAAGAGTTTCAAGCAGTGAAAAAGGGCTAAATCATCTGTTCTTAAGTTGTAAGTGCTTAGTTTAAAATAAGATCCTTGTACAGTAATGCAGCACTTATTTTAAGGCCTAAAACTATGACGTTTTAGACAACTTATGCCAACTTTTGATAAGTTTTTCTACTAAACCAATAAATTAAAAGTTACATATTTGATCTAATTGTTAGCATTACAGTATGTACATGCCTAAAAAAGAGGCTTCCAGTTGATTTATTAAATTCTATCTTCAATGTAGATATCTCCAAACMTTTCATAAGTTGTCATAGTGTGACAGGGCATTTAGGTTGAATCAGAATAAAGGTAGTTCTTGTGTTTTAATTTGTATCGTTCTTGTTTGTTTTAAGCAGTTTTTGCAGATGGAATTGGTGATGCTTGTTTGGATTACTCTCTTTTGAAGGCCTAGTTTATTTGCGTAGTTTGTACAGGAGTAGCAGGACTGTCAGCACTAACTCGTATCTAGTGCTAAAAAGAATTTCAGAAACTAATCATCAGTGGTGTCCACTGAGTCCACGAGCCATTTTTCACCAGGGTTAGGCTGCAGAATCCACAGGAAATGAATGAAAGTCAATGAACGGTCCTAATAAGGATAGAAATACAAACTTGTGTGTCTATACAGCGGGTAAAATAAGTATTGAACATGTCACCATTTTTCTCAGTAAATAAATTACTAGAGCTGCTAATGACTTGAAATTTTCACCAGATGTCGGTAACAACC